GGGAGACTGAGCGAAATTTGAAAATGAACTATTATTCACAGTTGTATTATATCAAAGTTAAAAATCACAAATTGTACTAAAGATGTATAAGAGACTGTCCCTGTCCTAGAAAATATATGCCAAAGTATTTAGAAGTAAATGGAGATGATATATGCAATTTATTCTGTGAGGGTTCAGCAGCAATAATTTGTACATAAAAATGTGAGTTTGAATCTCAGCTCTATCGCTTAGGAATTGCATAAAGTTGGGAAAATTAATCAACCTTCCTGTGCTCACTTTTCTCATTTTTAAAATAGAGATGTTAGTAATTCTTTACTTAGAAGTTAATGAAAATGTGTATAAAATACATGTCATAGTGGCAGACACTGAGTTAATGCTCAATAAATATTTTTCAAGTGCATCAATGTATGAATTCTGTAGTCTAGCATTCCATGAATAATCTTCATAACAATGTCCATGTTCTGGAGTCCTGTTAACAGTGGTGGGACACTTTATAGTTACAAAATGTGTTCTCTTACTCTTGCTTTGCAACTTCCTCTGTTCTGGCTGGGGTGTGTCCACCTCCTTCTAGTAAAGGTGATGCCCACCAGGCTGATGAAGAGCCACAAGATGAGAGCTTCCATTTGGGGTGGAAAGGGGTGTCTGCTCTCCAATCAAAGCAAGGAACTGGTCACCACATTTCTCAAGCCAATCCTTATGGAAGTTGGAATTATTTCCATTGATATACAAGGAGACAACCTCCTAGAAGGAATAAAAGACTTGCCTCTATAGCCGAGTGAGTTCAAACCTTGTTCACAGTAACCCCACATACCATCCTGTCAATGGCAGTCCTGTTTTTTGAACTGATCAATATTATTTAAAATTCTAACTTTCATGGATAGAAAATACTGCCAGGTTACATCCCTGCAGAGCTGAGTGTCTCCTCTGTGCTCTCAGCAGAATCCCTTATTCTCAAAACCTGGGGCTTTCTTCTATCTTTTTTTTTTTTTTCCTCCAACAAAATTATATTATCTTCTAGAGGCTGAATTAAATATTAATAGGCATTCCAAAATATGAAGACAAGGGTGTATGCTTTAATAATGGCGTCCACTGGCTTGGTGATTTTGTAGACGTGTGGGCTGCAGATTGCACGGGAGTACGAAGCCAGAGTTCAGGACACACGTTCTCTCCTGCATCCCTTGTGAATGGTCGGTTCTTGACCTTGACACTCCTTTTAGCCTCACCCTGTTTAAATGGACCTCCTGGAGTACTTCCTTGACATTTCTTTATCAGAAATAAGACATCGACTAGGTGCCTGTTGCTATGGAGATGACAAAGATAAATGCTATTTAGTGTCTACTTTGACAAGAATACAGAGTCTAATTAGTCTAATTATTATCCCTTGTCATCATGGCAACACTTGGCTTTTTGGTGTCCCGGGTGCATCTCTATCTTCCATTGCATTTTAGTTTTTTCTTTGAGGATACTGACAGCAATTTGTTTTTCTTATCATCTACCATGAAGTGGGGAATGATGTCCTAACTAACTCTCGGTTGGTTTAGATGTGAAAGTCTCCCAGCTCCCTAAGTTCCTCATTCATTCATTTGTACATTACACAGCATTTCCTGAGACTTTATGAAATGTCTTATGTTACATTTATAGTAAAATCTAGAAAAAGGACTGAGTAACACAATTATCACTATAATAACATAGATTAGTGGTTCTCACACAGGGAAAACTGTCCCCCAAGGGACACTGGGGACTGTTTGGAGATATTTGGTAGTCATGACTGAGGGGATGCTACTGGCATCTGGTGAACAGACACCAGGGGTGCTGCTAACTATCCCAAAATGCATAGGACAGTCCCCATGACAAAGAATTATCTGTCCTTAAAAAAAAAAGATTTATGTGTCCTGAAATATCAATAGTATCAAAGTTGAGAAAGCTTGATATGGATTCTTTCAACTCACAAAATTGAACACTGCCCCACATGTTAATCTCAAATATCACCTTAAATCTCACTAGAAACTGAGACTATAGAATTAGGAGTGCTCCTCACCTGGAAGCCGTGTAGCTCTGGCTATTTTAATTTCTCCTCACAGCACCTCTGAGAGACGGAGGACATTCCTGTTTTACTGATGAGGCGACTCTGGCTTGAAGAGGTTAAGTAGCTGTCAGGAAAAGTGTTCACTTTTCCTCTTTCATGAAGTATAGCAAAGGAGTTATTGAGTTTTTACTGAAAGGCTTATGCTGGCCAGCTGGGTGTCAGCACTGGCATTTTGGGAGGAAACTCAAGTCTGCTATAGAGCTGTCAAGCCATGACTCGTCCTTTAAGGTGGGCCAAAAGTTCCTCTATAGTTTTTCAATTATGTGAGAACAACAGTTAAGGAGTTATTGATCTCCGGGGCACACGCTGGCACGGGCATGTAAGCATTACCAAGAAATAAGACAACTGTGGTCTTTGGTAATTTTTCCCACTTCTGTAAGGTTTTGTACACATCTGACTGCTTTTGAATTCCTCCTCCTTGCAACTTTTTTCAGGATCCAGGCTCACATTCCCTCCTGGGCTCCCAGGCATTTAGATAACTTATCTGCCCTTCACCATTTACACTCATTAATATAATATATTAGCCAGTTTGGGGTTCTGAAGCTTTACTTGTGCTTATTTTGTATTTACAGCCTGATGATAAGCTTCTTTCTGAAGACTAATAAACATTTACCAACCAGCAAATATTCTGTCACAAAAGAGGCTCATCCTCCATTTGTTTATTTATTGGAATCTATAGATTCCAAAATCATTTATGAAATATCTAGTGTACACCAGACATTGTACAAAGGGGATATATAAATGAATCTCTTAACACTGGAAAAATAAGATACCAAAAGATATCGTGAAGATTAAAGGGAATATTTGAGTAAATCATGTGAGGCATGGTGCTTGGTACGCACAGATCTGTGTTCAATAAATACCAGAAATGATTGCTCTATTTCCCCCAACACACAGAGGAGAGCTATGCAAGTAGTCGGTGTTTTAAACATGTTTGCAGTGTGATTGAAGGTGTCTATGCAGGGATGTGAAACTTGTGACAAGACACTGACAAGTATATTTGTCGCCCTCGGCAAAGAGTTTGGATGAGCAAACGTGGTTACGGATGCATCATGCACCAGCTGAGTGGGCTCTGGGAATATTTGACAGGGAAATACATTTTTACAAGTGAAGTAAACCACTGGGTTGGCAACACAAGGAGGAGTCAGATTCAAACATACTTCTCAACTCTCAGTGTAAATGGCATTTGATTTCCTGAGAAATCTGTCTGCTGCTCTTCACCAGGCTCAGAATCCATCCCAGGATTCTGGAGAACAAGGTTTACAGTGTTTTTGATCAGAGAACAACTTGTAATAATAGCTCTTTTTTATAGAGGAGGGTTAGAAAAGCCCAGTAAACAAGTCTAAAATGTCAAAACCCATAGTGAAAGCAATACATTGTTAAATTCTGGAGAGAAGATTGTTTTATTTGAACACCTATTGGAGATGTACTTACTCCAGGGCTTATGATGAATGCTGAGGGTTGAAGGACAAAACATGAGGTTCTAACCCTCCCTGCCAGAAACAGCCCTGTGGTAGCATCACTCCATGATGGAACATGGCTGGGTTCTGCCTTTGCAAGAAGGATGTCAATCGCCAAGATGGCACATTGCCCTGGAAGGGCTACATATCCTGTGGATTGGAGATAACAAGTCTTGGTCTAATCCAAATTACTGAATGGATGTTCAAGTCAACTGGCACACTCTTTGCGAAAATACTATTACTCCTGAGTTTATATTTTTGGGTTTGAACTATTTTTCTAGTTTTAGAATCATATTTCCAGTCTTGGCTCTACCTGACATGTCAAACATTTCCCCAAGCAATCTCTTCCATTTCCAACTGTGCTTCCTTCAATTTTCATTTCTCTATTAAAAGCTTTTGCCCTGTCTTCCTTGTCAGAAGCTGTATTCCTCTCTCCATCACTAGCACATCTCCTATTGGTCCCCTTATCGTTCCTTGATCTATCCATGCTGTCACTTCAGCGGGATCTCATATACTAATTGTTGAGTAAATAGATACTCACCTTTTGTGGCCAACTATTTCCAATTCTACCTCAACCTCAATAAGTTCTTTCTTCCATCACTTCCCTGGCATTCCCACTGATGCTGCATTAATTGAAGATTTCATCACACCCCGCCATGATTACCACAACAATCTCCTGACTGGTCTTCTTATGACTACTCATGGCTCCTTACCTCTGCCTGATGTGGCTCTCATCTTAGGACTCCACCTACAGAACAATGTACTCATCCCTGTCCTTTGCTCAAAGGCTCTCATGGCCACTCATTGTCTAGAGGATGATGTCAGAACTCTCATTGCATTCATAGCCTCAGCTGCATCTGTAAACAGACTGAGGTTACAAATTCTGTTTCTCCCGTTCTACCTCTCACCCCAAAGGGCCTTCTGAGGTAGCCCCATTGGGCTTCTTACTCTCTCTCTGCAGCACCATTTCAAGCTATTTTGTAACTCTCACCTGGTAAATACTCTATTTAAAATATTTTTCCCCTTCATCTCTTTTTTTTTGGCAAAACTCTCTTCACCCTTTAAGAGACAGCTCAAATGCTATACCTTTCCTAATGAGTTAGAAAACAAGTTAGCCTTTCTTTTATTACAAAATGACTATGAAGCCACTTCTGTTTATTTCAATTAATTTTTTCACCACTTTGAAGTTTTCAACACACATGGCTCTGTTATTTACTGCATCATTTGACCTTGGACAAATTGTTTAACCTCTCTATGTCTCAGTTTCCTCATATGTTTAATATGAAAATAGTAACACATAGCTGATAGGGCATGTATAGTTTCAATGTGTTAGAGAAATGATGATTCTTAGAATGATGTGCAATGATGATTCAATAAAAGTTAACTAGCACTTCTGTTTTATTTAATCATCATAACAGCCCTATCAGGCAGGCATTGTTGTCATTATTTTGCAGATGCAGAAACAAGGGTCCAGAGAAGTTAAAGGACTTGCTCAAAGGCATGTGAGTAGAAGAACAAATATTTGAAGCTGAGTCTGGCAGACTCTGGAAACCTGCACCCTCATCAGCCTCCAAGACTGCCTTTGCACATTAGTACAGCCTGGTTGGGGTGGAGGACTGTGTTTGCATATCTGTCTCCCTCACTAGATGGGACGCTTGGTGAGTGATTTTTTGTGTGTTGTCACTATGGAGAGTAGCATCCAGCACACCAGAGATGTACAATAAGTGAATGTCTGAATAAGCATTATTAGTGTGTATTTTCATATTGGGATTGGTCCTCAAAGCTTGATGCTTGGAGCACATTCCCATCAGGAACATTGCTGAGTTCTTTCTGTTCCCCCATGTACATACCAAGCAAGAACTGGACCCCCAAAAGAGCAAGCCTGGAGGGTAAAGCTAAGCATGAATCATGAGCCCGTCTCCTTCCCCTGCTTTCACTCTGGGTGCTTCTCCACTGAGAAATTATATATTGTTCTTTAAAAAATCATCCTTTTTTTCTTAGTTCATAACTCCAAGGTGCAGGAAATGTTATCTTCTTTATTCCTCAAAATCAATTTTATTCTACTACTGGCTCCTCAACATCCAGGGAAGTCAATCTCAGTGATTATTGGGATTCCTTTTCCTTCTTTGTAGGATCTATAATAATCTCAGGTTTAGAAGATGCTGAGAACAGGGGGGAAATGCCAGATCCTTTGCTATCTTTCATCTCTGCTATTGTTCCTTATATTTCTGGCCACTGTTGTTGAGAGAGAAGGTCACACAGAGACATCCCGCTTAGCAGGAAACTCTGCTGTATATGCATTTGCAGAAATGTTTTCATTCTTCCGACCTACACCTGCAAGCATTCCAGCACTTCTCCTGAGGATGGTGGCAATGCATGCAAGATAGGCCTGGCTCGCCATGGTCTTTATCCTCCCTCTGTCCCTCCTGTTTGAGGTCCCAAACTTCCTGCTGGTCTAAAGTCTCCTTCCCTTCTTATGCCTCCCTTCCTAGATGCCCTGAGATGACTCAGCACAATCCTTCCAGAATCCCACTACCAGGCTCTCTATTTTTAGAATGCAGTAGCAGAAAGAAATGCCTACTCTGGTGAGTAACTGACTTTCTAACAGATCTGTTTATACAGGTGCAGTGTTGCTAGGGGCGGGGCAGGTGGCAGCCAGTAGCAGAGATGAGGAAAGAAACTCATCTTAAGAGTTTCTCTGTATATTCAACACCTCCTCAGCTGCTCATTCTCACATGATTATCTTCCTCATTTTGCAGACCCGAGGTGTGAGCTTTCTTAGACTGTTGTGCCAAATCAGGCCTGATTCCGATTTCCCTCGCCTCCAAAGGGTTTATTGAAAAGAATAAATCATTTTTGGTCTGCGTGTTACCTTTGAGTTTTCTTTTGAAATCCCCTGTGTAATTTTGCAGACTTCACCTGAGCAAAAAGGAGCCTCTGGCATTTCTTATTTGGCAACCTCCTTCCAGTTACTTCTGTATTGGAATACAGCAAATAATTTAATTTTATCTCTTTCTATACATTGCCTTTAAGTTTTCTGCCAAAGGCACAGGCTGCTTTAGGTCAATTTTGTAGGGCTTAGCAGACCTGTTCATTTTTCATTTTATTCAACCTCAGACACGAGGCAGTATAAACACTCTTGTTAATATTTGCTATTTAATAATGAGGCTACTCCTGCACCTATTAGCCCTAAGTCTTTTAATTTCATCCATTATAAAGATGATGGATAATATTAATGAGAAAGTTCGCTATAGATTGGTGAAAACACCTTTAAATATTCAACAAAGTTTCCATGTTGAGAGGGAGATTTCTGTTTTATGCTATTGCTGACTGCTAAGCATACCAGGTCAAAAATTTTCTTAGGAAAAGCCTCAAAGGAAAGAAAAAAGGAGATGGAGGAAGAAGCCACACAGTCATCTAGTCTACACCTCAGATCCGCTCCTTTCCAAGTGCAGATTCAGCTCACAGTCAAACACAAAATACTCAATAAGGCCCAAGCCTCAAAGTCACCAAGGTTTGCTTTGATGCCTGGAGGATGCTGACTCCACCAATAATGACATCTTCCCTAATGAAATTGTCGATCAGAAGGCAGACCTCCAAGTTGAGGCTGAATAATCAGAGGTGTGGACATGGACCCATGTCTTCATTGCATTTGCAGTTGGCCACTGGGAATGAACCACAAGTGAAGCAACTCTGCAATACACCCAAGCGCCACCCAAATCTGGGTCACCCCTGATGAGAAGTCTCATGCTTTTGAAACTACAGCACATGGCTAACATGGAGCTATGCAATGGAGAGACACTGAGATGCTTTTCAATGAGTCAGTATTGTTAAGTGCACCCAGTAGTGCTCAAGACATAATAAATGTTCAAGGAATAGCACTATTATGTCACTATTGCTTGTGAGGGTTCCTTGATGATAGTGAGGAAACAGGTTTTATGAGAGAAAACAAAAACAAACATGATCTTTTCTGTTCTGCTGGTGAGAAACCTGTGATCCAGAGTTAAATGCTTCCTGCACTCAAAGACAGAAAATGGAGTGTGTTCAAGAGACACAGGCGTGAAGCAGGAAGAGCTCCAGATAGTAAAGGAGGCAATTTAAATAAAGAAATTAATAATGTGCCATTGGATTTAACACAAAGTACAAAATAAATACCCATAAGTCCATATTGGTATAAATAAATAATTGAATAAATAAATAAATGAGGGAGAAGAGACAAATCTCCTCTACCAAAGAACTCCAAACAATTTATGTTGATACATTTCCCTACAGAGAAGGTGGCTGAATCTCTCCCCTACCTCCTGAGACTGTGATTACAGGCCATCTCTAAAGAGTAAGAGTGTGGGAAGTTGGGAAACAATGGTATGTTGGAGCAATCTAACAAATTCTCTTAGCCTGGAGATCCAGGTTTTAACATCATCCCTGCTAAGTCAGTTTCCCAGCTCAAGCTCTTGATGTGATGCATTGAGAGTGGCACTTCATTCACGTGGTCCACCTTAAGCCCATAATTTTATTCTAGTCATGAGATGAAATCTAAGATATGGCCAAATAAAGAGGCATTCTACAAAATATGCACAGCTCTCAAAATTAAGTCATCAAAATGAAGGAGGGTCACAGACCCGTGGAGACGTGAGACGTGATGACTGTAACAGGGCATCCTAGATGGGATCCTGGAACAGAAAAAAGACCGGGAATAAATTAGTAGAATCTAAGTAGAGTGTGGAGTTTAATGGCGATTTGCTAATGTCACTTCCTTAGTTGTGCAATGTGCCATTGTGACATCAGCAAATACTACATAGGGAAATGTGCATGTGTATCTGACATGTGCATGTGTATGTATCTCTACAACTTCTCTGATATTTGAGATTCTTCTAAAAAAAAAGTATTTGAGGAATAAATGTTATTGCTGGTACCAGAATTCAAATCTAATTCTTTGTATAGCCCAGATACTTTATATAGTTTATGGACTTCTGTTTATTTAAATTCAACTTGATACGTATTTAGATCTTACATTATAATTTCCAAAATGACAAATATGTGATTCCCATGCAAATAAAATGAACACATGTCAAGGATTTTATTTATACATTTAATTAATGACTGTACTCATAAGGTGTTAAAATGGTTCGAAGGGCATTTGAGGATTCATACATGTGTGTGTGTGTGTATGTGTGTGTGTGTTCAGATAAGTTTGCAGAATTAGAGTCAACACCAATTAATATTTCATACAACAATGAACAGAACCATTAAGGTTTCTGTTCCAGGGGTCAGAAATCATTTGCATCTCTGGCTACAAAAATCTACAAGTTAGCTGTGACTCTCTGGAACTGTAAAGTAAACCATCAGTACAGAGTCAAAGCTAGGACTGAACACAGAATCTGTTTTTGTTTGTTTCCAAATTAAGGACATCTTTGCTGAGAATCTTTCTTTAAAGATTATTCTCAAGCCCACAGAGGGGCTAGTCTCTTACATTTGATTCACAAATCCAGAGCTATGTAGGATGGAGTATCTAGAAATGCCTGAGAATGACTTCTGACTGAGAAGAGTGAATCTCACACTGGGTTATCAAACTCCCTTAAGATTTAGTCTTCTATGCAAAGGTGAGGAAGCCAGGTTTGGGCTGCTCTACCAGAATTTGTCTGTGGTTACTATAAATAGAGCCAAGTCCCTCCCCTTGGGGTGTCCTCCACTAGCCAAGGTCCCCTGGCTGCCTGCAAGTGCTTTTCCCTTAGCAGCTCTGGCCGTCGGGTAGCTGTGCAGGTTCTGAGCCATTTTTCTTGAGAGGACTATATTGGCACTGACTCTGTATAAGAAATCAATCCTTGTTCTTGACTGTGGGCTTGTTCTACCTGATTTTTTAAAAAAATCAGTTCACAAAGATGACACGCTATGTAAGGCCTAGCTGCACAATCTATGTGTTCAATTATAAGAGGTTAAAAAAAAAGGCTGGATTCTTACTGAGAATATTCAAATAACTGTTGGCTATGAAAAGCAGAGAGACTTAGTAAAGGTCTTGGCTTCTGAATGATGAAGGCTCAATGAGAAGCAGATACCATTTTAAATGTTTCGTTTTCATTTCCAAAAGCAGAGTTTGCTAAATTGAAGGTCAGTTATGGTTTAAGAAAAAAGAGAAAAGGCTTCCTTATATATCCACAGAAATCAAACCTGGACAGAATAAGCTGACCTGCATGACTGTGTTGTCATTTGAATTTTCCAGAAGTTCTTTGATGTCAAGCAGTAGCTCCCCGCCATGTAACTCTGGGGGTGCCATTCACATAGACGCCACCTGGGGTTGCCATTTGGCAGCTATTGCCGGTCGGGTTGAGAGGGCTTAACAGGAGTCCTTTGGTTCCTCCGTGGAAAAGTCAGGAGGGAGGAGCAGAGGGAGGGACAAAGTCCATTTCTCAAAACTCTAATAAGCACATTGCAGGACACAGGTCATGGGGCATAGTGCACTTCATGTTTGTGAGAAAGTCATCTACAATAAAGCTTTTTACTTTTTTTCGTTAATAGCTCCATGTTCTGGGGTTGGTAAGGCTGCTGTAGAATCTAATGGAAAATGAGCTCCAGGAAAACCCATTCAGCTCACTGTGGTCAAGCCATGGCCAAAACTCAGGCCCTGTAAAGACAAATGATTGTGTTGCCAGTGGAAGAAGCTTATTTGTATGTGTTCCCTTGATTTCCAGGAATCAAAACTCATACCATATTTATTTCCTAAGCTATTTATTTACTCACCTAACTCTAAAACAACTCATGTGTTATCAAAATTTAAAAGTGAGTCTGGAGGATAAACATAAGTACATTTAATAGAAAATAAATTGAAAAGTAGAATCTGCGATCTCCCTGGTGTGTCGGGGTTGAGTATCAGCACTATCATGCCATGACCGCTGTGGCCTGAGTTCAATTCCTGGCCAGGGAGCTACCCACATGGCACAGCAGACCTCTCCTGACTCACCTGCTGCTCCCCTCAGGAGTGTATTTCAGCTAATCTGTCTGTTCTGTTCCCCACTCTGTCACAGGTGAATCCTCTCACCCCCAACACCTCTAGCCTACACCCCAGTTTTTCTATGCATAAATAAATAAATAAATAAATAAATAAATCTTAAAAAAAAAAAGAAAAGTGGAATTTGCAGACGTGGAGACAGTTCTGGCTCACCCCCTGGTAGCCCACTGTGGTCACCCTCAGCATCACAGCTCCCAAGTACTGTCCAAACAGGAGGTCATCCAAACCTACTGGGTTTTGGTATTTCCTTTGTACCAATTTTTGCTAATATACCCCTTGTCTGCATTTATTATATGGGAATGAAATCTCCCTACTTTATATTCCAGGTTGCTTTTTATGCAGGGTGCTCACTGTCATACAGACTGCCTGATGTGGGTTTTCACAGAAACACCTTGCTGGGGTTTCCTTTTCTAATACATTTGTGGTTTTCATGGCCTGTTCCACATCACTGTTCACAAATAGCTCTTTTTAGCTCTGTCATTTTGTGCTTCTTATTTTAAGGGAGGTAAGAAATCCTATTGGA